CACAGGAGTGATGTGCTCAAGGTCACAGAGCTCGGCTTGAACTCGAACTCAGGTGATAAGGCACCAAAGTCTGAGCTCTTAACTACATTGCTATTCTGCCTCACCCTGTATTGCACTAATTTTATAGATGAGAAAGTTGAGGATCAGAGAGGTTAAGAAATTTGCTCAAGATAACATGGCTAGTAAGTATCAGAGTCAGGTTTTAAACTAAAACCCTGGCACTTTCCCTATACTGTGCAACTTCTTCACAAGCTAAGGGAGGAGAGAATTGCAGGGACGAGTGTCGTCTAGTGAGACGAGAGCAGAGAGCATCTATTGGATTTGGCCACATGGAGGCCATTGGGGACTTAGTACGATCAGTTTCAGTGGCATGATGGGACAGAAGTCAGGCTGTAAAGTCTTGAAGAGTGAATGGAAGGCAAGGAATTTAGATGATTCTTTCAGGGAGTTTGACTATAGAGACAAAAGAGATGAGAAAGTAGCTAAAAAGAGAAGTGAGATGTAAAAATGTTTAAAAAATGATCTTTTGTTTGAGAGAGAGAAACCGGTAGACATTTGTGTGCTGACAGGAAATCCAAGAATGGGGGCAGTGGTGGTGGATTGATTTTCTGTCTGCTGTGAGTTTGGTTAATTTGAATCAGGATCTCTAAGTCTGACTAATTCGGGACCCCCAAAACTGAGGAAAGGAGCCAGTAAGCTGGTGATGTCACCAAAGCACAGTCACTCAAAGGGAGCATATAGGGATAGCAAGATCGTTCTCTTGCTTTGCTTTAACTGCAAACGTAACCACAGAATCACCAGTGGGTGACTGCTCTGCTACAAAAACTCTCTGAATTTAAATGGTAACATCATAGCTAAACTGTTAGCCTCACTTGTAACCTAAGAAATACAAATGTAAACAGTTATGAGGTCCATAGCCCTAGTACCAAAAATTTAAAGCCATGAGAATTCTCGGCTAGTGAGAAGACAATTTGGTGCCATTCTTTTGGAAAACAATGGTACTTGTTGCAAGAACCTTGCATATTGTCATATCCCTTGTCTCAATAATTCCATGTCTGAGATTTTGGATACAGAAAAAAATTAAAGTGCAAAGATGTTCATTGCAGCATTGTTTATTATAAGGAAAAACTGGAGTCAATTTAAAGACATCAAGAGAAAAGAAATATTTAGATAAACAATAGTACCTCCTCTTGATGGAAAATAAGATAGCAGCTTAAAATACTACTTACAAAGACAATTTTTGAAACATCATATGCATGTAGTGTTAAATGAGAAAAAGCAGAATGAAAATTCTACAGTATGAACACAACTGTGTAAATAAGCCTACAATATAAAAAAGACTGAAAATATCTTCACTAGTCTTGATTATGTTTGCCTGGTTGGTACTTTGATAAAGAAAAAGAAACTAAATATGAGAAGCTCTCTGTAGCTCTCCACTGATTAGCAATGTCTGACGTTACAATGAATGCTGTTTTTTTCCATTCACTTTTTCAGATCCTCCCCCTGCATATTGATAGTGTATAAATTACCCATAAAGAAATGCAGGTGTTTTACTGAAAATGCATCAAATGAAACCTCTAGATAACACACCAGGAAAGCATCTTTAAAATGTTTTTGTTATGCTTGACATCATTCTTCTCTACAAAACAAAGCACACTCATTTGGAAAATGCAGAAAAATTGTAAAATCAGAGAACTATGGAGAAGCAAAGAAAAATCTCATTTAATCCTTCTATTCAGATAAGAAATGTTGATATTTTATTGCAAAGAAAACAGATTTTGATGGGAGAGACTGCTATGTTCATCTCAACCAAGTGCATGTAACTCTGACATTAAACTCTGAGGCTACATTTTACCCTTCAACAAAGCCAAATCGTCCACAGACAGTGCAGGTTTAAGGGCGATCAACAGTTATTGAGCTCCATCTATATGGGACTGGGTGTGGCTCTGCGATGGACCTGCCCTCATTGACCTTACTAACTGGGAAAGCAACTTTTGGAGCTGCTGTTGAGAGTGTACTCCATCAGCAGATCAGAGACATGCTACAAGCAAAACATAACCAGATTTCAGCAACAAATCTGGACGTGCGCAAGAAGCCCAGCTGTGCTGATCTCTGCATTCCTCCCTGTTACCCAGGGACAGGACCATTTCCTCACCTCTGAATCTCCAGCAAAGCACTGGCCCTGGAACATAGCAGGTGCCCAAGAAACATTTATGGAAGAAAACTAAAGGCTGGAGTTCAAATTCCTAGCCTGTCACTTAGCAGCTAGATGCTCCCATCCACTTAGCTCTTGTTTTCGAGCTAACGATGTTCAAATTTCAATCATTACCCCTATCTTCTCTCCCAAACTTCAGACCCAGTAGTAACTAGCTGCCTCTTCAACTTTTCCCCTTGGATGTTCCATAAGTAGCCCAAAATCTACACCGTCTGTCTAGGTACCCAAGTGAGAGACTACATGTGTCTCTCTTCTCTTTGTCTCACTCTTCCCTCTTCCTTTTATTTGCTCATGAAATCCTGCTGACTTTAGTTCAAAAATGTCCCATATTCTTTCTGTCATCTCCATTCCCACAGCTGGTGTGTGAACTAGTTCAGAACTTCATTATATCTTACCTGGATTGTTACATCAATCTCCTAACTAGTCTCTCTGCCTCCAATCTTCTGTTTCAAAACATGTTCTATGTAATTATAACCAAAGGTATCTATCTAATCTCAGGCATAATTCTAACACTTCCTTCCTTCAAAACATTCAAAGGCTCCCTGTAGCCTTAAGAATCCAAATTCTTAGACAACTCAGAGGGCCCGTAACAATCTGGCTCCAACTTTCCTTTCTGGTCTCATTTCTTACAAAACTTACCTCTCTCACCTCAAATAGATGGTCTGTTTTAGCCATACAAAATTTCCTACTCTTCCCCAAATAGACCATACTTTCTCTCTTCACATAGACTGGTCTAGAATCTGCTCTCCCAGCTTCTTATTGATGGTACTCCTGAGAGCTCCTACCCTGTATGCAGAGCTCCAGCCCATTTGTCACCTCCTCAAAGAACCCTTCCTGGGGCCTCCCAGGTAGGGGTAACCCCTCTCTTGACCTTGCTTTCATAGCACTTAGTCCATACATCTATTATAGCTCTCACCTTGATTGGGTTGGTTTTTTTTTGGTACCTTCAGAGCATAAGGTGGTGCCTGGTGCATAGTGGTGACTATATCAATTTTAGGGGCGAGAACGAACACCCACGTAGGGTGTGATGGTCTAGCTCCTGGCATCACATCCCTCCCTGTGAACACAGCCCCAGCCTCTGGATCCTGCCTAGAGCCTCAGCCCACCCCACACCCATCCTCCGGGCAATGATCCTCAGGCTTCACTTTGTGAAAGAATCCTCTTGGATGCTTGTTTCACAGGCAGATCCCCCTTTCTTCCCTGCAAAAGATTGATTCAGTAGTGATCAATGCATGCTGGGTAAATTCGATTTATTCAGAGAAGCCCAGCAATGGGAATTGATCCTGGGGCAAAGGGACCTGTGTCTGGAGAAAGGATATGTGAATGGAGCTCTCATTTATATTCTGGGATTTAAATGAGACGCAATAGAAGGATTCTTCATTCGACTTGATTAAACCTATGCAAGGGTTCATGCTGGGGACACACAAAGACAAATTAAAGGTATTCTCTAAGTTCTACTCAATTATTAGGATCTGGCTTAGAGTCCTAAATTACAGTACTTCAGGAAGCCTCCCCAGCTCTTCAAAACCGCACTGGATTCTCCTCCCACAAATCCGGGTTTTTCTTCGGCAGAGCTTTTCATTCAGTGCACTGTAATTGCTGGAAAACTTGTTTACTCCTCTATCAGACCGCAAGCCAGGCAAGGGCAGGGGTTGAGTTTATTCTTCTAGTCTTGTCAGAATTTAGCTAATTGTCTTTCTGCTAGTAGATGTGTGGGGAATAGTGAATTACATTGAATCAAACAGTCCTCCTTTCATACCTCAGGGGACCAAGCACATTCAGTATGTCCACAGAATGAGCACATGGCTAGCGCTCAAATGACTGACAAATGAGCATATTCCGGGACTCCAGGAGCTCAGCCTACTGCGGAGGCAGGGGAGAAGGGGGACTGCTGGGTCCCTTCTGTCCACACTACCCGGCACACTGCGGCCTGAAGCCCACCGTGCAGGAGAAGCAAGGAGACGCAATGCGATGAAACCCACAGGGAGTTCACAAAGGCTTTATGGGAAAGTGCCATGATGATCAGTGGAATTTCTACATGCAAGGGAATCCAGGCGAAGGAATCATGCGAGGAAAGGCTGAGAGGAGGGAAAATGCTGGGTATGATCTGGAGGGAAAAAAAGCAGAAAACTGAGGCTGGGAGGCAGGGGTTGGCATCTGGCTCCAACTTGGGGCGGAGCATAGGGGTGGGCATCCGAGGTCCAGCACTGCCTCGACGGCCCCGGGCCCCAGGTGGAGAGAGCGAGCGGAGGGACGTTCGCGTCCCTCCAATCAGGTGTCTTGGGCACGGGTGGGAGCTGTGCGCCCTCCACTCCCACCACTGGTCAGACCCAGGACCCCGAGGCGGACTGTCCCCACCCCGCTCCCGGCAGTGTCGGCCCTACAAGGGCGGGCCCAGCCCCGGGCGTGGAGCAGCGGACCCGAGGGGGATGAGTAACCCTTGGCTGTGAGCAGGCGCGGCCAGGCGAGAGCGCGCCACGTTCTGAGAAGACGGTAACTCGGCCGGAGCGTCTGAGGTCGTGCCCGAGGGCCGGGAGAGGCGCGGCAGCCGCACCCAGGGCGGATAAAAGGGCCGCGCGGGGCCGGAGCCGCTTTCTCCGCGCGGCGCCAGCAGCGCTCCTC